ATGGCTGTGTCCCTTTGCTTCTCCTTATGCTTCTATCTCTTCCACAGTTGAGGTTGGATATATTCTTGCAAATAAATAGCCATGAATATGCATAAATATACTTTTAAAAATGAGCTTTCCTAAACTATTGAGAGTTCTTTCTGACTCTTGAAGAAGGAACTCTTGGAGGAGAGGTCCATCTATCTGCATGAGCATTTAGTTTGTTCAGATCTCTGCATTTAATAAATGCTTCCTACTAAGAATGCACTTTTTTTTTTTGGCCACACCTCGTGGTATGTTGAACTTCGCTGACCAGGGATCAAACCCATGTCCCATGCAGTGGACGTGCAGAGTCTCAACCACTGGACCACCAGGGGAGTCCAGAAAGCATTTTTTAAGTCACTGCTTGTACCAGGGAATTTTTGCTGGGATGGGAAAGGGTGGGGTTTTTTGATGGGAGAGGCGTGGGTGGGTATTTTTTGTTGATGCTTTAGGTGCAGGTGTGTTCCAAGGCAATAACAAGTTGCTGTGAAATCAGCATGTGCTGCTGCCTTTGTAACTGCGTGGAAACTTTTCATGTGTGTTTTTCTCTAGGTTAATGCAGAAATGTGTAAACTGGGAGATGCAAACATAATATTTTTTTTTCAGTTCATGAAATTAAGTTATTAAAATAACAAAAATAGCATTAAATTTAATTACCTTAATGCTATATAATTCCGGAATTAGCCTTGTTTTTCAAACCTTTAACGTGCATTTTAGAAATCAAAGTTGACATGCTTAGCTGTCTTTTGCTTAATAAAAGCTTTCTTAAAGTCCCACACATTTGGACCATGGCAGCTAATTTTGTAATTTAAGCATTCATATGAACTACCTATGGACATATATTAAACTAATTGACAGAAAAAAAGGACAGACCTTTTTTTCCCAAATCTAGCTTTTCGTAAAATGTGGACAAACTGTATCTGCATCCTTAATTTCAGTTTAATTATTTCTCCATGACATTTATCAGTAAACATGACAGTGCTTTCTAAATTGATTAGGATATAAGTATTTCATAAATATTAGTATGTATTAGTCATTGTATGGCTTGCTGCTGCAACAAATAAGCCCACAAATTTTACTAGCTTATCACAGTGGAAGTATGTTCCCGGTCTGTAGGATGCTTTCCACGTGGTATTTCAGGTACAAGACTTCTACTGTCTGATGGTATTGTCCTCTCTCAAGGTCTCCTTGGCAGGTGGTAAAAGAAAACTCTTTGGGACACACATCACTTCCATTCAGATTCTACTGAGAGAACTAGTCACAGTGTCCCAGTAAGATGAGAAAGAAATGAAGGAATAGTTCCTGTTCAGCAGCTGCTTCTCAGCCCTCGCTGTGTACTCTTTAGTGTAGAGAGAATCTGGATATTTGCAGGACAGCTAGCTCTCTTTACCACAGCTACCATATATACCACAGTTCACAGACTCAAATGCAAACAGGGACATTAATGAGTGAAGCGGTCTGAATATAATAGAGAGTAGAAGAAACTGTAGGGAATCTGAAAGAATACTCTCTGACTAAAGAGGGAAGATGGTTCCCAGGCAGAAAAGCATGCACATTATTGGCAGAGTTTTGCAATAGAGAAAAAAATATACGTATTTTTAAAATGTGAAATCTCATGAGTTTTAAAAGTCAGCAACTAGGTAAAAAATAAATAAATAACACCGTGTAAGCTACATAAAACATTTCTGTGAACTAGATTCAGCTCAAAGAAAATGTGTTTGCAAAATCTCTGGTGTATATGGTACTTTTCCTGTGATAAATTCACCCTTCAATAAAGAGATGAAATGGTTACTGCCTTCACAAGATACTACAGGATACATGTTCCCCGAACGTTTTTTATTGTTCAGGAAAAAAATATGAAGAAGCCCTCCTCATGCATGTTTATGAGAATGTTAGATACATATTATACGTTATATATACTGTTAGCACCTCAAGGCACAAGATGCATCTAGAGTGAAGTTCATCATTAATGATGTGATATGAAGCCACATTTTAAATAATCTTCCTCATAATTTCATTTTTTTAAAGAGCTTCATGACAGATATGATTAGGTGATTACTGTTCTACCTCTCAATGTGGCTGATGAAGAGGACACTGAAATAGGAGAGACATCATTTTCTCCATTTTATCTTTGCTTATGCTTATCTTCAATGCAAATTTGCTCATAGGAGCAAATTTTTCAGCCATTTCTTAATTTTATTAAAGTAACAAATGTTAGCAAAGCCTTTTATCTCCCCAATTTTAGACTAAAAAATACTAATAGAAGTTTTTAAATTTCTGCCCTGATTGCTTTGTATACCCCTTATTATATAAGTCCCATGTTGCCTAAGTTTATACTCTCTTTTTGACTAGGCAACATCTGGAATATGACAGTTCACATCTGTACACAATACTGTGTAGGTCCATATGGTACCTATTAAGTATTATCTCACCTTGAAAGGCCACACTTTAGTCTTGTTTATGGTTCTTCAATAAGCTTTTACTTTCTTAAAACATAGAGATATACCATCAGTGTTTGAAAGACTAGGAAATTTTATTAGTCAATCAGGTTACCAAGAGTATTTTCTTGGTAATTACAATAGTAAAACACTACTTCCTATAAAATGAGATTTAGAGCCTTTCAATTGGGCTGAAACAAAATGAAAGAAAGGAAATAAAGATTGAAGCTAGGTTTTCAAGCAATTTGGGTTTAAATGTGTAAAAAATGCAGAGAATAATTCTTCTTTTGGTTCCAGGAGAGTTATGATTGTGACTCCTCATACATAAAGATGAGCGTATGCCCTGAAGTATGTTGTAACCCTAAATAACTACTTATATTTAAAGTTTGCAACTGGTTGGCGGTCAGTCAAATTAGGCAAAAATAGACCGTTCTTTTCTGTACTACAGAGAAAAGAGATATTTCATATTATTGGCCCTGTGAGAAGGTGAATGAAAAAATGCAAATTATGGAATTGCTTAGAAATTCCTTATATTGTGCCTTCCGCAATCTACTTCTTACCTACTAGCAATTTTCTTTGGTATTAGAAACCACTTGATGTTTCCAAGATGAACACAGATTATAACCAGAATTTTTGGCTTATTAGATTCTGGGACTTAATTTCACACATGCCTTAGGAAGAGAAGTCTATCAAGTAAATTATAAGCCAAACTCTTGATCATATGGGAAGATATTACAGGGTCTCTTATTTTTACTTTACATATTTATGTGTTATTTGAATACTACTACATTTGTGATGAAGAAAAAATATATATTCATGAAAGTATACAAGCACTAATATCTATCTAATCTATCTAAATAATCTATTTATCTACAAATCTATCTAGTGTTTCCTTTATGATATGTACTCCTCTGAGCCCTTCACATTTGTTCTTTTAGTCCTGTGTGATTTGATCAAGTTACTTAATGATCCTGTGAGTAAAGTAATAGAAATATCAATTGTATCTGTCCCATGAGGTAGTTGCCAGTATCAGGTAAATACATATACTGCATTTAGAAGAGTGCCTGAAACTCTGTAAGTGTTGAATAAGTGTTGGCTGTTATTCAGTAGAATGTGAGCTCCATGAAGGCAGGGATTTTTTTACTCTTTTTTTTTTCATTTCTGTATCTCCAGTACTCAGTATTAATAGCTCATAATAAATATGTGCTCAATAAATACTTAGTGAATGAATACTCTTATAAGTTAGATGTAGTAAAATTTACAGGTAAGATAACTGAGACACAGAAAAATCAACTAACATGGCCAAGAGCACATGGTTATTACATAATAAAACTGGTTTTTAACCCACCCAATTTGACTCCAAGGGCTTGCATACTTATCCCCCTCTTCTCTACTATCATTCTTTAAACCTAATAAGCTAAAAGGGATATAGGAGAACTAGTCCTAGAGATCTGATTAAGCCCTCTAATCCTTGAAACCTACTAGAGCTATCATAAAATTACAGCTTCCAGAGACAGCGTTCTGGAGCTGAATGTAGAAAAAGGTACTCTTGGTGAGTTATAGTTTGACTAATAGGTTGGAGAAAGGTACACCACAATTTTAGGACAATTTCACCATGAAAATAGTTAAATTTTAAATGCAATAATAAAAGAGTTAATACCAGCCATCCACTCATGCCCAAAAGGTTTTATTCTGGCAGAAGTCATTTTAATTTTTTTTCTCCAGAGATTTTTAGAAGATTATCAACAACTCTTTCCTCTGCCGGCTGTGAAGTTGTTCTCAAATGAAGTCATGTTAAAATCACTTTGCATAAAAATCAGAGGTCAAAAGTAATATATTTTTAAAAGTCATGAAAGAAGCTGTTTCTCCAGTTTTTTCTTGGTCATCACCCTGGAACCCTCACTGAAATTTATTCATCTCAAACCAAAATCATCACCCTGACTCTACTGTTTAATTAGAATATTATATGTTCATTGGAGGCATAGCCAATAATATGACTTATTAAAAAGGTCTAGATTTTTATTTACTAAAAATAAGTTATCTGTGAAAAAATGCATTACTAAAGGAGCAATAATGCTGTTTAAATGGGTGGGAAAGAACCTAAGCGAAAGATAGGAAAGTAGGAAGATAAAATGTCAAATTGAGTTTTAGAAAAATCTTTAGAGAGTCTTAATTTTTTAAGTGATATTGATGTGCTTATTCTGTTCATTCAGAAAGTTCCCTTTAGATGGCTTTTGTCTCTGACCCTTAGAGATGGACTTAGGCTAATACTTACAATCTCTGAATTCAGTTGTTTTCTTGCTGCCATTTATAATCTACTGAGGAATTTTAGATGAAACAATTTCAATGTGACTTTTACTTAAAGAAATTGTCCTTTGATTTTTAAGATTTAATCTTTTTTTAAGTTTTTCTTTTTTTCATTTTGCTGTTGCCTCCTGCTTTGGACAGAGAGATTAGGAAGTTCCCATATGTCATAATATTAGTCAGACTGACTAACAAGCCTATGCACAGTTAGAATGTACTGGAAGGCTATGAACTCACCTGAATCCAAAGGAGGCTTGGAAACTAGTCTTGGATAACAGTCAGGAATCAAGGAACCCCTGGAGGCTAGGGCAGCAAAGGCAAACCAGAGGGATTAGTCTAATCTGAACCCCACTGTGGGCAAAGAGCCCCCAACTATTGCTAGCATTGCTCTCCTAAGATTCAAAGTCCTATAAGGAAGCATTCACTTTACTAAGCCCAAGTATGTACCTAATATGACCTCTTCCTCCATCCATGCAAGGACAAGGAATGCAAAGAACTAAATATCACTCTAAGATTATAAACAAATAAAAGTATACCCCAAAGGGAGATCAGGATATTAGGCTTATGGGATTGAATATTTACTCTTCAGTCAAAAATATTACAAATGCCCAACACATATACATAAGTAATGACAGAAGTTGGTTGAGCCTTAGGCGGAACTGATCAAAAGGTACTATGTATTATGGTAGAAGGAGCACTCATAGGTTTTGAGAAAATTGGTTGGAGCCAATCTTAGCTTCCCCATATCCTATATATGAGACCTTGTATGAGCAACTTGACCTCTCTGAGCCTCTCAACATAAGGACTGTTCTGAGGATTAACAATAACCCACCTAGCAAACAACAGAAACTCAGAAAATGACAGCAATCTGCAGAGATGGCAAGAACCTCTCTGCCATCATCTACCATCAGGACCATATCTACATGCCCTGACATTAGCCCTTCTAGATTAATATTCTAAGGACACTCTGTATTTTCTAGCCAGAAAACCTGGCACGCTTTCCCAAATTATCTGAAAATACCACAACTGGCGTTTTTCAGCCAATTTTCTCCTCTCAACCAATTCTAAGAAATTCATGACTATTCATCTCTTTAATGTTTAGTATCATCCATTATGATAATTCCAGATCTTCCCTCTGCTATTGAGAGACCATATGAATTCACAGCTGGAATAATAATTGTTTTGCGATAACTGAGAATCTGCTACATCATTAATTCTTATCACCTTCACATTACAAACCTTTATTTATTTATTTTTATCTTGGCCAATACATGGTTAGATTCTTCTGAGGAAAACGATTTAAAAAAAAAACAAAAACACCCCAGTTGCTGGAGAAATAAGTTGAAAACTGATTTCTTCAGGTGGACAACACTGCAGATGTAGGTAACTTGAGTATCAAAGGAAAAGGAAATGCTTATAATCCAACTGGGGGTTTCAAAGAAGTTAATTCTGATGAGCTTGCCCACCCTTAGATTAGTTAGCACTCTAGCTTGTGAATATATCCATATGCCTTTTCCTTCAGAGTCACTGTCCATCCTACCCTTTTTGCTGAACAGATGGGCCTCCCCAAGAGCTGGGATCCCCAGCTCTGCTTCCTGTTTGTCCCACTCCAGAAAGCAGTGACTAGTGCTTAATGAAAAAATCAGTTCTTGCTGTAGTTAGTACATAAACCAGCCAATGAGCTTATACTATAAAATGAAAAAGTATGTATTGAGGAGCTGTATGGGATTTAACAAAAAAAAATCCATTTATCCCATGGATTATTATCTCACTTATAGGTAATTGGCAGAGAAATATACTTACGTAAACTCATGTTATCATTAATGAAAGGTGATAATTATAGCTTACAAGAGTGTCAGTATAATCTTTTGTAATCCTTATGATCCCTTATATAGAAGTCAATTATCTCCACTTCGTATAAACATAAGGTAGCTTAATGCAAGCGACTGTATTTTTTAATTTATAACATTAAAGGTAACATTTGTTTTACAACCACTTAGGCAGCAAACCTTCTTTCATTTGGAGAACTGTTTTGTATGCTAATATGTTAATTTGCACTACATGGAAATATCACTCGATTTAGAAAGCAATAGACTCTACACTGACTAGTTTATAGCACAGCCATATTATCTTGTTTGTAAAAAGTTTGGTTAAATATAAATGTGATGTTACGCATTACTCAGTTATTTTGCATTTAAAAGGACTATATTTAGGCAGACCCTAATGCTAGTTTTACTTCTGTATAATAAAAATAGATCAGTAGATAAAAGGGAAAAATAACTAATTAGAAAAAGTTATATACCAATTGCTGAAACCTCACAATACTTGTTTCCACTTTCTTTAGTTTCAAAAATGTTTTATAACTACCTAATTCCCTATTAGACTCTAAGTTTCAAGAGCATAAAGATCATTTCTCTTATCTGTTATACATGATATTCTTGGAATTTTGCACAGAGCCTAGGACACAGAAGGTGCTCTCTCATGACTCTTATAAAGACATTAACCTCACTCACGAGGGTGGAGCCCTCATGACCTCATCCAATCCTAATTACTCCCCAAAGGCCTTTCCTCCTAATACCATCACATTGGGGATGGGAGGGTAGGGTTTCAACATATGAATTTAGGGAAGACACAAGCATTCATTACATAACAAGTTGGCAAGTCACAAGGACTAGTTTAAGTTTTTGAAACAAAGTAAGGAAAGAAAATCCCATTTTTTATAGGACAAAAACTACACGTATGGTTAGAAAAGCTAAGTTATATATCATTACAGAGAAAGGGCAATAAATGCAATTCAAATGGACACTAAATTTGGTTTTACATGTTCCAATAGTGAAGGCAAAAGAGAAGTCTGTTAGGGCTTTCTAAAAACAAAATGCATACATATTCATCTCCAGGCTTCTTACCATTTAACTCAAACAGAGATCTACAAAATAAGGAACTTTGAGTGGCATAATGGAAACAATTTAAAACCATAATTTAAAAAAGAGAGAAAGAGTGTAGATTTTAATTAAAAAAAAACAAAAAAACTTTGGTCTCCTATGTAAAATTGTTTAAGATTCCCCAAATGCAGTCTGCCCTATGTTCAATCTTTATAAACATTACTCAGGCAAAAATTGAAATAAATCTTTTGCTTAAAGTTTAAGGTCCCTGAAGTAGTATTTATGTGCACAAAAGAGTAAAATAAAATGTACATGGTTTTCCATCACTTAAATGGCATTATACCTTTTTACCCTTGGGGACTCAGAAAGACTCCAAGATTTAAAAACAATTTTTTTTCAAAGTTCCTCTCCTGGAACTTAAAAGTTTGATTGGGGATAAATAAATTAATTCTCATTATCTTCAGGAAGAAAAGTGTTTAATCTTTGCACTATAAATTGTCACTCAGAACCAAGAAAAACAGAACTCAATTCTACCTGTGTCTTAGTATGTGAGCTCATCTAATGAACCTAAGCGTGTTTACCAAAGTTGATAACTCAATATTTTATGGGCCAGATGTACAAAGCAGAAATCATTTGGAATGTATACAACGTGTGACTTTGAGGCAATTCAGTAGGCTCAATATTGTACATCTTATACCACTCCCAAACCCTGATGAAGTTGATGTAAGGAAGAAATACCAGTTTAATATCTGCTCTGTTTATAAGTTTCACAGCTTTATAGAACTTTGGGGTTTCTTCATTTATCTAGCTTAATCTCTTCACTTCACAGAAAATAACACTAAAACCCAGAAAAGTTAAAGATCTTAGCCTGAGTCTCACGGCTGGTAAGCAACAGAACTAAAACCCACCCTATCATTTAAAACCCAGCATCTCAACATTACCTGTTACTTCTAGGTTATTATTTAATACTATTAAATGGTCTAAATAATTTCTCATAGTATAGACTTACATAGTTTTCTAAATTTTAAAAGCATCATTTTGCATTATGAAAACAATTCTGTGAAACTGGAGGGAATCAGGTTGAAACCATATATTTGTATCACTTTGCTGGGAATGTTCTCTTTCCCCACTAGTACTCCAACCTTCTTTGACCAGGTTTTCTTATCTCATCATTGGGAACATACGCCAATTTCACATGACTGAGCTTTATCACCGAAAACTGACACCTTGCTTTAGATTACTTTTTTCTCTACATGACTCAAGAGATTTAACCTGTATTCTAGAAACGCTGAGTTAACACTGCAGCCTTAATGTCAATACGCATTCTTCTCTTAACCTCAGGCATAGTGGAAGAGAGGAGGCAAGCTTCTAGCAATGCCAACAGGAGTTTGTTGTTCTGGAAGGAGTTTCCTATTGTCATTCATTTATTACTGCAAATACACCTATGATACTTAGAAAACTCATGCTTTTTTTAAAAACTGCAGTAAATATGATGCCATCAGAAACACCATTGAGTTCAAAATATTATAGCTAACTTTCAAGCTTCATGTTTGTCAAAATAAAAATTGAAGAACGTATTATAAACTTGTGAAATAATACAGCTTATTTTTCCAAGCGTCAGTCCAATTCATTAAAACCAAATAATTTGATTGGGTTTAACCTCCTTATTTTTTACTGCCACTTCTAAGCAACTTCTTCAACCCAATCGTTGAATAACAATGTCACTGTAACAATAAAAAAGCTCACTTGTGTAATCTTCTTTTCCTTTGCCCTAATTCCATAATTATGATAGCTGACATTGTCATTTGGCATTTTTCTGAAACTAGTGATTATTTTTCTTGTACTTATTTGTAAAGGTCACTGATAACTGAATTCCTTTGTGTTTATGTTTTTTTAATGATCTAGATGCTCTGTTTTGCACGTATCCATCTTTTGAGTTTGACTGGCATTCACTTTTATTCCCCAGTCTCCAGGAATGTACTCCAATGTCTCTCCAGTCTCCCTCCTGCACCTTCAGCCTTGCCTATTTTACTGAGTGATTCCCATTAACATTCAAATATGGTTTCACATAACCCATCTTTAAAGCACACCAAAACAAATGTTCCTTGACTCCTACACTCCTCTAGTAGCCCCCCATCTACTTCTACAAGAAAGTGTATATCCCAAGAGACATGTATAGGGTGAAAGGTGGGAAGCTCCACTTGAGATTCCAGCTAATTTACATTCTTCATCGTAGTTTTCCTGAAGGTCAGGAGGAGGCTTAAATGCTTATCAAGATTAATACATTCGATTTCCCATTTGTCTAGTAATCATACATATCCACATCATTTTCAGGTCTCCAAAAATAAAGAAGGTTGAATAGTAAACTATGAATTCCCCAAAAGGAAGAGAGAATTGAGGTTGCTCAC